GTCCTGACCTGATGATGTAGGTCTTCTGTGCTGGTTCATTATTTTGAACAGTGGCTGTTTTGTTTCCCCGATGTATGACTGATCACAGTCCTGACACTTAACAGCATACACAATGTTACTCTGTTTTTGCTGGATCTTTGGGGTGAACTAATCTTTGTCGTAAGGCCTTTGTGTCCAGTTGTCTTCCTCCTACAATGCTGTTATTGCGAGTAAGACTCCGCCCACTGTGAGCAAAAAAGTGTGACTCAGGGCTCCTGGAGGAGAAACGAACCGTTTCATTAAAGAACCCGTCCAGAGGACCTACATTTTCTTTCTTTCTTTCTTTTTCTTTTCAGGACAGTAAACAAAAACAAACAAAAATTTAAGACTTCACGGTTTGTTTGAGTTTGTTTTTGTTGAAGCTGAAAGTCTGAACCCATGAAACCCTCCATGTGACCTCAGTCAGAGCTTTGTTACCTCTTCATGATGGGGACGACCGTCTGTCAACAAAAAGACAGAAATCAATCAGCCGTTTTTAATTGAATCCACCTGTTTCAGCCAGACCCTGCTGACCTTCAGGAACAGCCGGGGGTCCGGGGCGCGGCGGACCTCCTGGGCGGCCTCGATCAGATCCTTGGAGCGGTCCAGAGCCCGTCCACAGAGCAGCAGCTGAGCGTACAGGGCCTCCAGCTTGCCCTTCTTCTCTTCCTCCAGCCCGCCTGCCCGCTCGTCGTAGCGCTGCGACAGCGTCTGCAGGACCTCGTTGTAGTGCTGCTCCAGGTTCTGCTCCTGCCGCCCGAAGTTCTCCTGGACACAGAGCGGTCCAGAGTTCTACAGGGCCTCTGGTCCAGTTCTGTGAGAGCAAATGAAAGGTTTTGTTTACCTCCACAGTGAGGAAGATCTCCTCCAGGTGACCAGCGAAGTTTTCCATCTCAGAGACTTTGTCCTGCAGCCGAGTCCTGATGGACAGCAGCTCAGTCTGAAAGACAGGATCACCTTTCAGCACTTGGATTGCTTCAACCCTCCTGCTGCCCTTGGGTCAAGCAAAGCTGTCAGTAAATGTTGAGTTTATTTTTTTGTTTCTTTGTCCCCACCTCAGCCCCTCCTCTCCTGAAGACATCGTCTTCATCGTGTCCATCTTCTGCCCCGGTGGGAGACGGGGAGCTGTCCTCACAGGGTTCAAACCGAAGCGAGTCGTTGGTGCTGACGGAGAACCTCTGGAAGGTTCTTCCTCTCCGCTCTGCAGCCGGGTTCAGCACCGGGACCGGGTCTCTGCTGAAGTCCTGGTCCTCACCTTCCTCTGAGATCACGTCCAGCCTCGGATCCATGAAGACAGGCTGTCGGGACAGAGGACAGGGTCAGGGTCAGGATCTTCTCAACACTTTGTGTTATTTTAGCTGTTTATAAAGCAGAGCGTTCGGCTCGTTCAGCTGATGGCTGCTCTGAATTTAGGTTTTTTCTTAACATTTTTTAACTTTATTTACAAACATTTTCTTATAAAAAAACAAAAATGTCGTCAAATCATTGTTCTGAAATCTGCTTCAGCTGCTGGATCTGGTTTTGTCTTGGGCTACGTTTAGCTACTGTTCTATGTTAGCTGTTCTATGTTTAGCTACCGTTCTATGTTAGCTGTTCTATGTTTAGCTACTGTTCTATGTTAGCTGTTCTATGTTTAGCTACTGTTCTGATTTGAGTTACTTTTTGGCATATTGCATTTTGTTATTTAGCTTTTTGATGTTTGTTTGTAGCTAGCATTTTGATATTTTTAGCACAAAAACCATTTCACAGAGTAGTTTTTTGGAGCATATGCTCGTGCGTTTTTCTGTATGAAACACAGAATCAAAGCTCTTTTTTTAACTCATCCTTCCTATGTGTGTGTATTCTAAACTGCAAGGTAGCGCACTACGTTGCAAAAGACCTGGACATTCGTTCCTCCATGTTTGTCATGTGTGTGTTTCTCCGGACGAATGTTCTAAACTRCAAATTTCATTCGTTCCTGATGTGGTGTATGAATGACAAACGATTCTTGATGAAGCTATTTTTGTGCATTCAGCTTTTAGCTACTTTTTGGCATCTAGTTAGCATTTTGTTATGTTTAGCATACAGCTAATATTTTGTTATTTCACTTTTTGATATGTTTGTAGCTAGCATTTTGAGACTTAACATATAGTTAGCTTTTTGTTACATTTAGCTTTTATCTATTTTTTGGCATCTAGCTAGCATTTTGTCACATTTAGCATACAGCTAACATTTTGTTATTTAGCTTTTTGATATGTATGTTTGTAGCTAGCATTTTGAGACTTTTGGCATAAAGCTAGTTTCGGTACGTTTAGCTTTTAGCTACTTTTTGGCATCTAGCTAGCATTTTGAAACTTTTAGCATATACTGTAACTAACTTTTTGGTACATTTAGCTTTTCAATATGTTTGATTTCTAGTTAGCATTTTAAGACTTAGCATAAAGCTAGTTTTTGGCACTGTTAGCTTTCAGCTACTTATTACTACTTTTGTTATCTAGCAAACATTTTGAGATGTTTAACATTTAGTTAGCTTTTTGGTACATTAATTTTTAGCTAGTTTTGATATTGCTAGCACTTTAAGCAAATAACTTTAGCTTTTATCCAGTCTTTACTTTTGCTTCAGTGTTTTGCTGTTTTTTAATCTTCAGTTTAATCTGCAGTAAATTGACTATTTTCATCATTTCTTCAGTTTAAACAYCAACAGTTCTGAATATTTCACACCAACAGGTTGTTTTAACTTTAATTAAAGTCCTGGCCTGTGTGGAAGAATAAATGAAAAAAGAATAAATGAAAAATGAATAAATGAAAAATGAATAAATGAAGAGCTCGTAGAAAATTACCTGAAAACTAGTCCGTACTGAGAAACATTTCAGGGCTGAGTTGAGTCTGAGCAGCTTTTGAAAGCAGCCCAGCCTTCAGCTGCAAGCTAAAATTAGCCTCAGCTCAGATGTCAGACATGTCAAACATCCAGTCAGAAACTTTTACACTGAACAAAAGATGAGACGCGCTCAAATAAAGTCCTGCAGAGGCAGACAGGATAATTAGAAAATACATGGATAAAAAGCTTAAATAAACAAGCAGAACAGTAATTTAAAGCTAAAATTGGCAAACTTTAGCTTAAAAACAAAATTAACAAAACTGTCCCTGAAACTAAAATTATCTGCGACTAAATATCAGCTAAAAGTAGCAGAACAATAGCTAAAAGGTCAAATTAGCAAAATGACATCAAAAAATAGACAGAAAATTAGATTTCAACATTTTAAAGAGACTGAAAATTTTATTTTGAAAAAAAAWTTTTTTATAAAGAAGTTATAAAAATCAAAAGCCACATTGAGCTGAGTAAAAACACGTAGATTAAAAATAAACATTAACAGAAAACAACACATAAAACACTTTTAGGCTCCACTTGGTTGGATTTGAAGCTGGAAATCCCGGATCACGTGATTTAAAGGTTAAAAGTTGTGGTGCGTTCACTGAACCTCGTAAATTTCTCTGACAAACCAAACGAAACGTTTTTGATTTGATTTTAACGTGTTTATGACTCCTCGACTGCTCATCACCTTGTAAAACTCAGATCTGTTACTGTTGAGCTTTCATACGTTTATTTTAAATATTTTAATGTTGTCAAATAAGCCAAGAATGAGATAAAAACGCAACAACCTTTCTAAATGTGGCGACAAACCGCTAATCTTAAAGTGTTAATTTTGAAAAATAAATTCATTAAATACGATCAAATGAATTATTCTTCATACGTGTCCGAGTCCAGCAGTTGGGATCTTAGAATGACCCAGCACCAGTTGTTTTGTCCGCTGTTTCAAAGTTTTTCCTGCTCTCAAACGCAGTATTTTGAAAAAGTTCCAGTTAATCACGCGGTCCRTGAAGGCAGCTGACGTCACAGAAAATGGCGGACGCTGTAAACAGAGTCAGCAGCTTCGTGGAGCCGCGGCTGAGCTGTTAAACATGGAGTTGGAGCGGCTGGACAGCCTGGAGGGCTGGGTGGCCGTCAGGAGCGACATCTTCGAGGAGGACGAGAAGTTCAAGCTGGGCTTCATCGTCCAGTGGAACGTTATCGAGTCCAAGTTCGCGGTCACCTGTCACAACCGGACCTTACAGCGGCGGAACCGGAGAGYCGAAGTGACGGTCGGGGACCCTCAGGTGAGCTGGGCCGGACTCTTCTCCGTCAGCGACCTGAACAACATCCACCAGCAGTTCGTCTGTGTGGCGGACGTGTTGGGGGGCTGCTTCCCGGACCTGACCCGGTTCGAGGAGAGKAACATCTGGGACTTGCTGTTTCTGAACCGGAGGTCGGGCCCGGAGGATCCGGACGATGCCGGGCGGGATCTGGACTCTCCGTGTCGGAACCTGGAGAAGTATTTCAGCTCAGCCATCGACCTGTGCGGCAGGAAGATTGTTCTGGAAACTCTGTTCGGCCAGGATGAGCGGCACGTGGAGGAGTACTTTGAAAACCTGCAGGAGTTCAAGAAGAAGAGCCTGCAGGAGGAGGTGTCGAGGGTCAAAGGTCACCTGAGACAGGTGAGGCGCGTGACCGCAGCCTCCGACTCCTAATCACTAAACATGTCAGGATCAACTCTGAAAACACAACCAGTTCTGTTGGAATAATCTGCATTGATCTTTAACATTACCCAGAGTTCCTTTCGACATCTAGTTGTTTACTTCCGGTTTGTAGCTAAGTCTCAATATTTATTTATTATARGTTCAAAAAGACTTCTAACAACACAAAACCTGTCCGTACTTCTAATAAACCATAAACTAGATAAAAAACAAAGTACCAGGTGAGGCTGACATTTACTGAGTTGCAGCTAAAAACATCTAAACAAAAGCTAAAATTAGCAAAACAGTAGCTAAAATAATAAATTAGCAACCCATTTGTCCAGTGAAACTTACCACTTTTTATAAGTTTAAATCTAAAATTATGTTAAGTTTGACACAAAATCCAACAGGAAAATCTTTC